GCAGCAGCAGCAGCAGCAGCAGCAGCAGCAGCAGCAGCAGCAGCAGCACAGCTGTGGAAACCATCCACCACAGAGTAACACCACAACTGCTGTGGCATCATTGGAAAACAGGAGCTCCTCAGCCCCATTACATTCTTAAGGAACAGTGGTAATTCATGCAGCACATTATTGTGGGGCTCATAAATATGTATATTTAGTTTGAATACAGCATATATGCATATATAATTACAATATAGAATATATAAAAATATCATTTACTTGTGAATGGTAGATATGAGTTATAATTTATAAATGTTGGATATATATTTTGTATTGTATCTGTAATTATGTCATTCTTTCCCTAGCTTTTTCCACCATGAAAAGCTTTGGCAGCCTAAATAGCACCCTAGCATATACATTGTGATTTCTAAATTACCCTTTCTCTCTAAAGGAAACAAAGAGTTTTTAGGAAAAATGGTGGTTTCCAGGTGTGCAGAGGAAGTGTGACTGCTGAGCCAGGGACACCTGAATAGGCCTGAGAGCAGGAAAGACATCGAAGAAGATACCACAGACCTTCACAGTTTCAGGAGCCATGTGTCATAACTACACTTAAGTGAAAACCCTTCATTCCTAGATCTAGTCAACAATGTATAGAAAACAGAGACACAGACAGCACAAAATTGTCACCTTGAAGTGCAGACATGAGAAAGTTTAGTGTCCTTTAGTGAGCAACTGTCTTTTCAAACATTTAATAGCGGCATGGGGGCAGGTGAGATCAGAAGAGAGAAAAACAGGAGCGTGTAGGGAAAGGGAGGGGGTGGAGAAAGAAAAAGAAAAGAACAGAGAAGTATAGATTGCCAATAATCATAATACGAAGCGTACTCTGCGCCTAGTTCAACTGAACAGAGGAAATAAAGCATCCATAACAGTCTTGGAGTAGAGTGTGATGGCATGTAACTGTGATTCTAGCAGGTTGAAGGCTGAGGCAGGAGGATCAGGAGTCCAAAGCCATCCTCTGCTACACAGAGAGATTGAGGCCAGCCTGGGCTACATGAGACTCACAAAAAGGAGCAAGCAGATGTCTGGTAGGTCCATTTGATTCATGACATCTGTTAAGGCATTGTTTCTCTGTTTAATTTCTCTTCTGTTGACCTGTCCTTTGTTGAGAGTGGGGTGTTGACGTCTCCCACTATTAATGTGTGGGGCTATATGTGCGGTTTAAGTTTTATTAATGTTTCTTTTACAGTGTGGGTGCCCTTGTATTTGGGGCATAGATGTTCAGAATTGTGATGTCTTTCTTCTTAGTGGTTTTATTTTTTGATGAAAATGAAGTGTCCCTCTCCATCTCTTTTGATTAATTTTGGTTGAAAGTCTATTTTATTAAATATTCAAATGGCTACTCCTGCTTGCTTCTTGGGTCCATTTGTTTGGATAAATGTCTTACAGCTCTTTAGTCTCAGGTAATGTCTGCTCAACCATGTTCGTAACAGCTTTATTCATAGTAGCCAGAATCTGGAAACAACCCAGATGTCCCTCAACTGAGGAATGAACACAGAAAATGTGGTACATCTACACAGTGGAATACTACTCAGCAATTAAAAACAAGGAAATCTTGAAATTTGCAAGCGAATGGTGGTAACTAGGTAACTCATCTTGAGTGAGGTATCCCAGAAGCAGAAAGACACACATGGTATATACTCACGTATAAGTAGATATTAGACATGTAATGTAGGATAAACATACTAAAATCTGTACACCTAAAGAAGCTAAGCAAGGGCCTGAGATGGCTCAGTGGTTAAGAGCACTGTCTGCTCTTCCAAAGGTCCTGAGTTCAATTCCCAGCAACCACATGGTGGCTGACAATTATCTGTAGTAAGATCTGATGCCCTCTGCTGCCACAAGGCACATATGCAGGCAGAACACTGTAGAAATAATAAGTAAATAATAATAAAAAAAAAGAAGCCAAGCAAGGAGGAGGAACCTGGGTAGGATGATAAATACTCATTCAGAAAGGCAAACAGGATGGACATAGGAAGAGGCAGAAAACAGGGAATAGGACAGGAGCCTACCAGAGAGGGTCTCTGAAAGGGTATCAAAGCAGATGCTGAGATACTCATAGCCAAACTTTGGGCAAAGTGCAGGGAATCTTATGAAAGAAGGGGGAGATAGAACGACCTGGAGGGGATAGGAGCTTAACAAGGAGACCAACAGAACCAAAATATCTGAGCCCAGGGGTCTTTTCTGAGACGGATACTCCAACCAAGGTCCATTCATGGAGATAACCTAGAATGTCTGCACAGTTTTAGCCCATGGCAGCTCAGTGTCCAAGTGGGTTCCTTAGTAAGGTGTACAGGGGCTGACTCTGATATGAACTGAGTGGGTGACTCTGGACAAAACACCATAATTTCTATCATAATAACTTTAGAAACAGATATAAGAGATTTAAATATAGATTGTGTGGCCATCGGGGAATTGTGACAAAGGAAGGCGGGAATAGAGGTCAGTAGCAGAGTGATTGTCTAGCTTGTGCAAAGTCTTGGGTTTGATTTCTCTACACTTTTCTCACGCCAAAAAGAAATAAATGAAGAAGACCGAAAAAAATGAAGCCACAGGAAGAAGCAATTCTTGGGGTGTGGATAAACAGACTGGCTATGGCATATCTCTGTCAGGCCTGGGGGATGAGTGCCTGAATTATTTTTCCCACTTCTCTACAGTTTTAAATCTTACATCCAAGGGAAAAATGGCTCACTGACAACTTAGCCAGGTGCAGCTGTTTCCACACCATTCTGTTTCTGTCAGTATATGGGCACTGTGACAGAATACCTGCCACAAACCACATCAGGAAGAAAGGATTGTAGCTGCTGTCTTCCCAGTGTTGGGGCTGGGCCCTGGAGCCTCTCCCAGCTAAGCAGGCAGGTGCTGTTCCACCGAGCTGCAGTGCTGGCCTCCTTTATCACCATTGCTATTTTGACCCTTGTTTTGAGACTAAGTCTCTTGCTAGTATCCCAGGTTGGCCTTGAAGTTGCCATCTTCTTGCCTCAGTATCCCAAATAGCTGTAATTTCTGGAATGGAAGATGGGGTTGGCTCAGGGCTTGAGGAGGTACAGTCCACCATGGCTGGGAAAGTGAGGTAGGGGGAGGCAGCCCCCAGCTGGGGCAACAGGAACATGAGGGAGATGGTTACAGCATGTTAAGAATCAGGAAGAATCTGCTCTGGCTGAGCTCAGGGAAAGTTATAACCCCAGCCATCAGTGACTTACTTCCTCCTGTTGGACTTTTCCTCCTGAAGTTTCCACACCTTTCCCAAACAGTGCCTGCATCTGGGGATCAAGAGCCCAAACACATGAACCTGTCAGGGAACATTTCACATTCACCCTACAGCAGTTTACTAAACTTGCTTTGTTATCCTCGTCAGACCTGCTCTGCTGGCATCAGAAACTTGGGGAGACACCATGGTTAGTTTCCAGGTCCCATATTTACAATGGTCACAATGCTGACATTTGTTTGTACATTGTGGATAAAGTCTCTGTCACCTGTCTTTCACCAGCACCTACCCAACCTCCCTGCTTCAGTGCTTACAAAATGTTGGCTCACAGGGGCTGGAGAGATGTCTCGGTGGTTAGAAGTCCTTGCTGCTCTTTGCAGAGGACCCGGAACCCAAGGCTTGTGGCTCACTACTGCCTATGACTCCAGCTCCAGGAGGTCTGGCACCTTTTGCTGGGCAAGGGCAGGCAAGTGTTTGCACACACACCCAAACACAAAGCACATGCATGCATATACAGACAAACAAAAATGCAGTCAAATGCATACATATACAGAAATAGAAAAGAAAATAATTTTAAAATACATGAGCCTATAAATAGGTTGGCATTTAATCGGGGTCGTTGCCATGCCCTGTTGAGACTGCCATGAAGGGTAAGCATGGGCTTTGTGCCTGAAGGGAAAAGCAAACTCACACATCAGGGAAGCGAGATCACACTGGTTTGGCCCACTTAAACAAGAGCACACCCCTGAGCTCCTGAAGCTGTGGGCGCGATTTCAGACATCACAAGACATGTCTTTCTTTTCCTGAAATAGAGTAGGAATCTGCTTAGATTCCTGGTTAATTCCAGCTTGTGCAGTAGAAAATGAGAGATGCCCCCTCTTTAGCCCCACACCATTTCCATTCTTCAGGGCACACAACCTGCATATGTTATGTTTCATCGTTTTAAGTGTGTTCCATTCTCCATTACATGTGAAATGCCATTTTCAGATAGTCAGTTTTCATATTCAGAAACATGTCATTTATGAAATTCATGGATGAGTACAGGTAAGAGCACAGAGCTATGGGAATATGTCTGTCCTCCAACCACACTAGGTGAAGCACTTCTTGAGTAACACCAGCAGGTTCCTCACAGCAGCCTTCACATCCTTGTTCCTCAGGCTGTAGATGATGGGGTTCAGCATGGGGGTCACCACCCCATAGAAGAGGGAGATGAGCTTGTCTGCAAGGTCCTCCTTGTCTGCCCCCAGTGGGTCCTTGGACTTGGGCTTCCCATACATGAAGAGGATGGTGCCATAGAAGATGACTGCCACAGTGAGGTGGGCAGAGCAGGTGGAGAAGGCCTTCTTCCTGCCCTCAGCTGAGGGGATCCTCAGGATGGTGATGAGGATGAAGATGTAGGAGACAAAGATGAAGAGAACTGGGACTCCCAGATAGATCATATTTGTCACTGCCATGATGATGGCATTGATGGAGATGTCAGCACAGGCCAGTTTCAGAACAGCGAGGATCTCACAGGCAAAGTGATTAATGACATTGTCCCCACAGAAGGGAAGCTTCATTACAAGGGATATTTGAACCATAGAGACAGCAATTCCGGCTGCCCAGGAGTTGGCAGCCATGGGCACATAGGCAGCCTTGCTCATGACCACAGGGTATCTAAGGGGGTTGCAGATGGCCACATAACGATCAAACGCCATCATGCCCAGGAGCACACACTCCGTGGATCCCATGCTGTAGGAGAGGAACATCTGCACAGCACAGCCTGAGAAGGAGATGGTCTTCCTGGGAGTCAGGAGGGTGTCCAGAATGAGGGGGACGGAGGAGGTGGTGTAGCAGATGTCCAGGAAGGAGAGGTTCCCCAGAAAGAAGTACATGGGCGTGTGCAGGTGGGGGTCGAGGATGGTCACCAGGATGAGGACCCCATTGCCCAGCAGGATCACCAGGTACATCAGCAGGATGAGCGCGAAGAAGGTTTTCTCCAGCTTTGGGTGGGCAGAGAGGCCCAGGAGAATGAAGCCTGTCACGGGGGAGGTCTGGTTGTCACTTTCCATGCTGCATCTCCTCTCTCAGCTGGAGGAAGCCCTTAGCTCTAAGGCCAACATTCTCTGCTTTGCAGAGGGCCAGGCCTTAGGCCTGCAGCGCCAGTTTGGTGGAGTGATTAAAAGGCTGTTCTGAAAGCACACAGCAAGAAAAAGAGCAGCATAAGCAATATCAAAACTGTGAGCTAAAGGCAGCAAACTTGGGAATCCTTGCCTTAAAACTTTCTTTCCCTCCCTCCTTCCTCACTTCCTTTTTTCTTCATTCTGTCCTTCATTGCTTCCTCCCTCCCTTCCTTTCTCCCTCCCTCTCCTCCTTCCTTCCTTCCTCCCTCTCTGTCTCCTTCTCTTCCTTCCTTCCTCCCAACTTTCCTTCCTTCCTTCCTCCCTCACTTCCTTTCCTTCTTCATTTCCTTCATTGCTTCCTCCATCCTTTCCTTCCTTCCTTCCTTCCTTCCTTCCTTCCTTCCTTCCTTCCTTCCTTCCTTCCTCCCTGTCTCCTTCTCTTCCGTCCTTCCTCCCAACTTTCTTTCCTTCCTTATTTTCTTCCTTCCATCCTTCTTTCCCTCCCTCCCTACCCCTCCATTCCTCCCCCTCCCTCCACCCCTCCCCCTTCATCCTTCCCCCTCCCTCCAACCCTCCTCATCCATCCCTCCCTTCCTTCCTTCCTTCCTTCCTTCCTTCCTTCCTTCCTTCCTTCCTTCCTTCCTTCCTTCCTTCCTTCCTTCCGTATTTTTGGTTTTTGGTTGTCTGTTTTGCTTTCCTTGGTAGTTCTCACTATCATTCTGACTTAAACTCCTGGCGCTCCTCCTACCTCAGCCTCTTGAGGGCTGAGGTTACAGGTGTGAGCCACCACACCCGCTAAAGCCATTGTTTAGGTCCAGAGCCTTCTCAGAGAGAACACCCTCTATTACTATGCAGATGGTTCTCACAGCACCAGGCCCAGGGCCCTATGCCATCCATTCACCTGCCCATTCATTTACCCTCCATTAATTTATCCAGTACATCTCAATATCCAACCACAAACATACTTGATCAGACTGTATGTAACAGTTTCTAAGGGAATCATAAGGACACATGGCCTGGGCTTAGGTGGGCTCACTGCCTAGCAGAGAGCAAAAGACGAGTGATTCAGCAGGGGCATTAACGGGAACAGGGCTCAGAGAAACAGTCCAGGAAGTACGAAGTTCTGCTGAGCCCTTAAGGAAGAGGAAAAGTTAGATTTAGGGAGATAAAACAAAGGGGGTATTTTCCTATGTGACTTTATACATTCGAAATTCTGACATTTCACTAACAGTTTGAATCTTGTATTTCTTGAAGATAAACCAAAGGTGACCCTGGAAATCCATAATGGCCCATAATTTCTGGGAATCTACACACACACACACACACACACACACACACACACACACACATTTTAGACTGGTGTGTGTGTGTGTGTGTGTGTGTGTGCGTGTATGATTCTGTTAGGTTTCCTTCCTTCTGGGTGGGCATCCACACAGGCCTCTGTGGATACTCAGAGTTTCCCCCAGACTTCTACTGCAACACTGACTCTGTCTCCCAGGCATCTAGTTCAGCCTTCTCTCCCATGGTAGATCTTCCCCTGGCACACTGCCTTTCAGTTCTTTCTCGACTTCTCCTGGCTTAGAAGAGCTCACTACGTTCTCAAACAGCCTGCTCTGTGTTTGCAGAGCTCTGGGACTTCAGGAGATTCCCCATACGGAAGGAGCAGCATCCTTCCAGGTTTCTCTCACCCTTATGCCAGTGTCTATCTCCTCCTTAAACTGCCTGTGCTTGTGGAAGGTCGTGAATTGGGACCATCTCAGCTACAGGCCATTCTCTCAAGCTTGCTGAGCCCATGAACTCAGAATAACAGACCTGATAAGTCTCTTGACATCCAAATTTCCAAGAGGGGTCCAGCCTTCCCCCACCCCCTGTTTTGGTGATGCATTTATTCCCTTCTCAAGCCCACCTCTGTGGACACTCAGGTCAGACACTAGGAATGCCCATAGCTAATGACATGTTGGGATTGGCTTTTACAGGAATCCTTACTTACCTTAATCAGAAAACTACTAAGAAGAGGTACCTGCCCTAAGATAGTTCCAGGCCAGAAAGAGTAGCAGCAACCTAAGGGATCCAGGCTGAGCTGCCACCTCTGATTTGAAGAAAAGCCTCAAAGTTCATTCTTCCCACTTGGTCCCGTTCTATTTCAGTGTTATCTCCGAATGAGCACCAGTACACAGGGACGTAGATTTGAGACCAGCAGCATACTGGGGCTCCTGCTGTCCCTAGCGTGATTAAAAGTTTAGAAGTGAAACAGTCGGGAACTTCTTATTCCCTTGGGACAGTGTCCCCAACATCCAATTACACTGATGCGCTCCAGGCACTGTCTCCTCCTCCCCCCACTGCTCCTGCTGGAAACGCCCACTCTTGCTGAGGGACTCAAGGTAGTCATGCCCATACCTTGCTTGAATTTCTACAAACTGCAGTATGCCTAATGCCTTTGAGAAGAAGTTAGGAGCCAGTCTCCATGCCAGTCCTGGCCTGGACTGCAATTAGGTTTCGGTGTCTTGGTTAAGTGTAACCTTGAGAGGCAGCACACCAGAAGCAGTGTGCCAGCCTCAGATCCTAAGGAGAGGGCACTGGACCTTATGGGCCAACAGGAAGAGAGGAGCCGTCTGGGGGCCTGTGTGCCTTTCTAATGGAGAGCAAGAGACACAGAGTAAGGGGCCCATGGGCCAGAGCCTCATTGGAGTCTGGATCATTTCCAAGCAAGAGTCCTCTGAGAGGTTCTAATGGATGGGTCTAGACCTAGCAGGGCACATATTCTATGGAGTCACATCCCTGCATCATGTCTGCAAAGTCCATGCAGGATGCAAAGCCCAGCAGGGGAATCAAGCAGGCTGTCTGTCTGTGGGCCACAGCGAGGCTGTCACTAGAAGACAGTGTGTAAGGGAGATATCAAGAAGGCGGCAGAGGAGTAGAAATTACTTGAAGGAGGTCTAAGCTGTGCTTCTGGTAAGGAGGTCAGACCTATGCTGAGAACAGACACAGAGGAAGCACAAAATGATGTGTGTTTAGGTTCCTAGTCATTGCTGAGCAGTGTTGCGCTGCATGACATGGCAGGTTCTTCTGCCTCCTCCTTGCTGACATGAGCTTCACCGCCTCCATTTTGAGTCACTGTGAATGAAGCCAGTGGTGACTCTCACACACAAGTGTTTTGCATCCACTTCTTTCTCTCTTGGCCAAACATCTGAGGACCCGTGTGCTGGATCGCACCATAGAGGTACACCTGGTTTTCATAAGAAACCGGCAGATCCTTTACAAAGGTGACACACCTACGAGGGCTCCCATTGCACCACAGTCTTGCCAACAGTTAGTGTGGTCAGTCTTTCACTTTTAGCTACCCCGGCAGGTGTAGTGGTAACCTGCCGAGGCTTTAATTTGCGTTTCTGGTCCCCCATGTATCTTCTTTTGGAGAGTACCCACTCAGACCTTTATGTCCATTGTTCTCAGTTACATTGCTTAAGAACATGTTGAGTTCTTTACGTGTTTTGCAACCTGACCTTCTTCAGATGTGTGAGCTGCACACATCCTGTCAGCTCGGGGCTTACACATTTGTTTTGAGCTCTGGGATTGCTGTGTCTGGGCTGGTCTGGAACCCTTGATGCTCCTGCCTCAGCATCCCATCATGCCTGATGGGTGCATTCATTTTCTTCATCGTGTCTTCTGCTGAACAGATGTTTTACATTTTGATCAACTCTATTGCTGTTTTTAGTTATTACTTTTCATATATTCTCTTAGAAAATTTTGCTCATCCCTTGTCGTGACGATATTTTCCTGTTTTAAGAGATCTTTGTAGTTTTAGCTTTGGCTTAGATCTGTGATCCACAGTGAATTAACTTTCTGTATGATTTGAGTTAGGAAATGAAGATCATTTCTCCATATGCAGGTCTAGGCATTTTGGCAACATTTATTTTTTATTTTTCTTAGCATTTAAAGATGTTTTAAAATTAGTGTACCAGGCCAGGTGTGATGCCTCCCATCCTTAATCCCAGCACTCGGGAGGCAGTGACAGAAGAATCTCTGCCAGCCTGGTCTATACAGTGGGACTCAAGCCAGCCAAGGTTACACAGTGAAGCCCTGTCTACCAACTACCATTAGATAATTAGCTATTATTAGATACCAATTATTAGACACGGTTATGCCATTCACAAACAAAATGTTATTGTAGATTCTGCTCCCCTTATCTTTTTCACTGCTCTGAAACCTCTGTCCCTCTAACCTTTTCACTCTGTAGTCTCTAGTCCTCTCTCATGTCCCATGTGTCCTTTTGCTCAGCTTCAACCTTCCTCATCAGCTATTTTCACCGACTTTTTACTCTAGCAGTTTCAGAGTTCCAAGTCTTTTGTTACAGTCTTTGCTCAGTCTCAAGTTGATATAGAGGTGTGTAAGGAATAAGGGTTTAGTTTCATTGTTCTGCCTGCAGATATCCACTTTTCTTAGCATCACTTGTTGAAGATGTTGTCTTTTTTCCCCAATGTGTATTTTCTGAACCTTTGAAAAAAATCAGGTGGCCATGGCTGTGGCTGTGTGGGTTTACATATAAATTTTTGATTCTATTCCATTGATGATTGTCTGTTTAGTAGCAGTACTATGCTGCTTTTATTGTCACGGGTCTGTAGCATTAGGTTTGATGCTGTCTCCAGCAGTATTCTCTTTGCTCCGGATTGCTTTGGTGGGAGGGAGGGGTGTCCTTTTGTGCTTTCATATGAGTTTGTACTGGCTGGTTTTATCCCAACCTGACACAAGCTAGAGTCATCAGAGGGAAGGAAGCCTTAATAGAGAACATGCCTCTATAATATCAGGCTGTAGGCAAGCTTGCATGGCATTTTCTTAAGTAGAGAGTCATTGGGAAAAGCCCAGCCTATTGTGGGTGGTGCCATCCCTGGGCTGGTAGTCCTGGCTTCTATTAGAAAGTAGGCTGATAAGGCTCCTCCCCCTCAGGGGGAGATTTTCAAAGAGCCAGCCCCTGAGATCATATAAGAGACAGTCCATGTTTCCCTTACTAGGGAACCAACTTTACACTTGAGCTGCCGTGGGCTACATCTGTGCAGGGGTTCTAGGTTATCTCCATGCATGGTCCTTGGTAGGCATATCAGTCTCAGAAAAGACCCCTGTGCCCAGACTTTTTGGTTCTGTTGTTCTCCTTGTGGAGCTCCTGTCCAGATGAGACCTGATAGGCTAGAGCAGATGGAAGGGGAGGAGGACCTCCCCTATCAGCATGGGAGGACATGAGGGAGGGAAGGTAGGATTGGGAGGGAATGACGGAGGGGGATACAGCTGGGATACAAAGTGAATAAACTGTAATTAATATAAAAGTAAAATAAAAAGAATGTAAGTTAAAAAAAAAACTTTGTTCTTTAGGGTAAAATTTTGCCTTTTGTTTTATGAGATTATAATAAAATCGTACCATATCCCCAATCATTTCCTTCCAACCCTTTCTGCAATTTACTTGATATCTGTTGAAACCAACTGTAAAACACAACAGTAAGATAACCTGCAAAAAAAAGGAAAAGGAAAAAAGGAAGAAAGAGAGCAGGCTGAGCAAGCCACAGAGAGCAAGCCAGTCAGCTTGCAACCTCCATGGCCTCTGCATTAGTTCCTGCATCCAGGTTCCTGACCTGCTTGAATTTCTGCTCTCAGGGCTTTTGATAATAAACTGTTAACTGTGACTGAAAACAAAACAAAACAAAACAAACAAAAGAAAAACCCTTCTTTTCCTCTGAAAGTTGTTTTCATCATGGTGTTTCATCACAGTAATAGTAAATCACACTAAGACAGTTTCAAGAAAGATTTTTCTATTTCTAAAGTTATGTTAGATTTTTTTTATCTTTGTAAGCTTTATTATTTAAAAACTTGTAAATCAAACATCACATACCAAATTCATCAGACCCAAGATACATCCCAATGAACTCCTTATATAGTTAGAATAGCCATTCTGAAGCTATGAGAGTAATGTCAGATTTTATACTTTTGTTTGGAATTTGGATAGGGATTGCACTGGATCGGTAGACTGTGTTTGTTAATATAGTCATTTTAGCAATGTGAGGGAGCTAGAGGGGGATACAAAGTAAATAAAATATAATTAAAAAATTAAAAAATTAAAAAAATAATACTGAAAAGAAAGAAAGGAGGAAGGAAACCAAACAAATGAAAATCTGCAGACATCTGTTTGTGTGTTCATTTGAGGTTTTTCACTTAAGAGATATAAAATTTCTATTTCCATCTCATTTTTGTTAAAAATATGTTTAACTTAATTATCTCATTATGATTTAGTGTTGTTAGATCATAGGCATCTAGAAATTTAAACATTTCTTTTAGACTTCTCAAGTTTTAAGGTATCCTTAGGATCTTCTGAACCTTGGGGGTACCTGTTGTAATGAGTCCCCTTTCATCTCCAGCTTTATGAATTTGATCTTCTCTCTCTTCTGGTTAATTTGTCTAAAGAACATGCTCTTTCAATGACTATTTCTATTTTGTTACTTTCTAGCCTGACAAAACGTTGGGGTTGATCTGGAGCTCTATGTATTAATGTTACTTACTTGTCCCCAAGATCCTTACAGGCAAATTCTCACATATCCAAAATGACATGGTGTAAACTTTGCCTTCCAAATTGTCCCTGAGGTGGCAAATAAAGTTGCCTAGTACCTTTCTACCAGGAGAGAGGTAGGCAGATCCAAGGTCACCGGCTCTTGGGGGAGAGAGACCACAAAGAGGAGAGAGAAAGGAGAAAGAAGAGAACAGGTCACGAAGGCCAGGAGCAGCTTGCTCTGAGGACTGGCCTGACGAGGCAGGGACAGCCCAAGTGGAACACGTGCAGGTCTCTTGGGGGTTTGGGATGGGAAGCAGACAGGATGGCTTAGAGGGCTAACATTTGCCCAGGCACAGTGCATTAGGGCTTATTAAAAATCTAGCAAGTTTCTGTGCCTTTTATGTATAAAATATCAGTTAAGGAAGAACTGCCACTGTATTAATAACCAGCTTATTATTAATAGAACGATTAATTCCAAAACAATATTATTTGTTTACAGCCTGATGCTTTTGTGTTTGATTTGTTTTCATCTTGCAAAATCCCGATAGTGCAGTATTTAGTTATTAACCTGAGACCTCTATGAGTTGCCCTTGGAGCTATGAACATTTTTCAGCATCTCTTTCATTGAATCTCATAGGCTTTGACATGCTGGGTCTTCCCTTTCATTCCAATCTAGGATTCATAAATTTTTCCTTCTTGATTTTTTTCAATAATCTCTTCAATATTCACAGAGTGTTCTTTAATCCGCGAGCTTGTGGATTTTTTCTGTTGAGCTCTAGCTTTAACCCATAATAGTCACATAGAATATTAGAAGTTCAGTTTTCCTGTACCTATTAAGACTTCCTTTGTGACCATATAGACTTCCAAATGGACCATAAAATATGATCTGTTTTAGAGAAAGTTTCTCGGGGTTTGAGAAGAATGTGTCCTCTGAAGTGTTTGGATGGAATCTTGTCTCAAAACCCAAAAACAAACCAAATAGAAAAAGAAAACTTGTACATGCATGCGTGTCTGTGTGTGTGCACACGCGCGTGTGTGTGCATAGATCTTTCAAAAGTCTAAGTGAATGTGATATATTTATTTCTAAGGTTTTGTGACAGTTCAGGTCTGGTCCAGCCTCTTCTGTTCTTAGCTTCATCTTCTGTCTTGAATTTGGATTATTTCTTCCTGAAGTGTTGGTACAGTCACCCTGTCTGGCACGTTTCTACAGTCTCAGCTCTTGGAAGTCTGAGGTCAGCCTGGGCTCCATAGCAGGCTCCTGCCCGTAATGACGATGATGGTACTAGCACACTAGAAAGACAACCTAGGCCTGCAGCTTACTTTGTGGCTTTGTTTTAATAATAAATTCAACTAGTTTAATAGGCATAGAGTTGTTTAAATTTCCTATATCCTCTTTTAATGGTTTTGTGAACTATTTTTCAGAGAACTTGTGCATGTCATTTGAATCGTCAAATTCTTTTCTGTAATTTATAACACTCTTTTATTATTGTCATTTTGATATCTGTGAGCCAGTGACCCTTCTTTCACTCTTGATTTGGATAGTTCACATACTGTCTATCAGTCATCTGTCTTTCTGTCCATCTACCCTCTTTCTATTGCTGTTTGAGTCCTGCTGAGGATTTATCAACTTTGTTGTCATCTATACTATCTCTTTGAGCTTGTTAATGTTTTCATTGCTGTTTTTCCATTTTATTATATTTGTTCATGTTATAAATTTTTTTTCCTACATTAGATTTATTTATTTTTCTAACAACGTAAGGTGAAAATTTAGGTCATAAATTCTGGTATATATTTAAAACTTTAACATTCCATTTGAACTCTGCTTTAGATATATCAAAGATTTTTAATATTTGAGAATTTCATTAAAAACCGAGTATACTGTATTTGCATCATATCTCCCTCTCCACCCTCCAACTCCTCCTTTGCTCCCCTCTTGCATTCATGACCTCCTTGTCTTGATATATGTTACCACTGGATAAACATCTGAAGCATAAAAGAGGTAAAGAAAAAGCTCAGACATAAAAATAAATACATATTCCATTGTCTGAAATTTCTAGAGAAAAGAAAACTTTCTAGAAATTACTTAGGAGTTCCACAGGTTGGAGGTGGGTCCTGAATGTAGAAGGGTTTGGAGGTGATGGAGACATTCTAAACCTGGAGGAGACTGTGCATTCCAGACCAGCTGGGTCCACATAGCAAGACTGTGTAAATCAAAATAAAATAAAACGTGAGTTTTTCTCATAAATGTCTTTTCAATAGGACAGTGAATAACAACAACAGAAAACAAAACTAGTACACACAGCCCAACTAGTCTTTACTGATAAAGAGAGAAGTAGATTTTCCACAAAGTTTTTATTGATTATTATGTCGGCATACAAAGAAGGTTTAATTTTCATAGTCACCTTTTCTTGGTTCTAGCCCATTTTGTACAGCCAGACTTTACTCTAAAGAGTTGATGGTCCAGCCTCAGTCACTCAAAAAGAACTCAGTCCAAGCTGACATTTAGGACCATTGAGCAAATCTATGCTTACTAAGTGGTCATTCCCAGTAGAGCCCAGATGTGCACAGAACTAGGAAATAACCCACTTCCTCACTATCACTGAATGAAGCATTTCTGACCCAGCAGATTCTTCACAGCCATCTTCACATCCTTGTTCCTCAGGCTGTAGATGATGGGGTTCAGCATGGGGGTCACCACCCCATAGAAGAGGGAGATGAGCTTGTCTGCAAGGTCCTGCTTGTCTGCCCCCAGTGGGTCCTTGGACTTGGGCTTCCCATACATGAAGAGGATGGTGCCACAGAAGATGACTGCCACAGTGAGGTGGGCAGAGCAGGTGGAGAAGGCCTTCTTCCTGCCCTCAGCTGAGGGGATCTTCAGGATGGTGGTGAGGATGAAGATGTAGGAGACAGAGATGAAGAGAACTGGCACCCCCAGGAAGATCACATTGGCCACCCCCATGCTGATGACATTGATGGAGATGTCAGCACAGGCCAGCTTTAAAATTGCCACAATCTCACAGGTGAAGTGATTAATGACATTGTCCCCACAGAAGGGCAGCTGTACAGCCAGGGAGATCTGCACCAAGGAATTGGCACCGCCAGCCACCCAGGAGCCGGCAGCCATGGGCACATAGGCAGCCTTGCTCATGACCACGGGGTATCTAAGGGGGTTGCAGATGGCCACATAACGATCCAACGCCATCATGCCCAGGAGCACACACTCTGTGGATCCCATGCTGTAGGAGAGGAACATCTGCACAGCACAGCCTGAGAAGGAGATGGTCTTCCTGGGAGTGAGAAAACCATCAAGGACCAGGGGGATGGAGGAGGTGGTGTAGCAGATGTCCAGGAAGGAGAGGTTCCCCAGGAAGAAGTACATGGGCGTGTGCAGGTGGGGGTCGAGGATGGTCACCAGGATGAGGACCCCATTGCCCAGCAGGATCACCAGGTACATCAGCAGGATGAGCGCAAAGAAGGTTTTCTCCAGCTTTGGGTGATCTGACAACCCCAGCAAGACAAACTCAGCTACGGGGGACTGGTTGGCCACTTGCATTTCTCCCGCTCTCTTCCCCTCTCAAGAAAACAAGAGGGCCAGCACTTGTTAGCAGGATCAGCATGTGATAGGCCATATCATGTATTAACGTAATATTCAATTTACCCTTCACATGTAAAATCAGTGTTGAAGGGTTAAAATTCACCATTAGGTTCCCTGTGAGGTCAGGATGCACCTGTTCAAGCAGAAACAGCCCCTGAGAGAAGCCTAGCCAACCGTGCTAGGAGCACAGTATGCCCGGCCAGTGGAGCCGACACACCCACAGGAAGGGCCGTGTTTCTTTCTGCATACAGGACTACTTGACAACCACAGAAGAGGAACGTTGAGGGGAGGGACACGGACTCCTCTGGCCACCCCTGCTTGTCCCAGAACCATTCCTGCACTCTGTCAGTTAGTCCTGTCAGTACTGGCCTCCTCTCTCTCACTCTTCTAGCTCCACTTCTGTGCCTTACAATAATATAAAGAGGATAACTTAGCTCCACAGAGAGATGATATGGTGGGCAGAGGCCAGGCTCATTAGAGTCTAGCCAGAATTTCTAATTGTTGCCGGGTGCCTGGCTTGTCTTTGATTATTGTGATTTTGATGGGTGCTGGCCCTGGTTGCATTCAATAGTCTGTGGGCTCCTGGGCATGGTGAGGACTGGACATTGTGGCCCTGACAGAAGCACAGCCATGTCCCATCCCCTATAGCTCAACAGTTGGCTCAATCTGCTCCACACCTATGAAGGACAAGTGTCTCTTATACCTTCCTGTGTACTCCTTGCGCCTGATCCCTGTGCTTTGGGGCTGCTTTCCTCAGAGCTGTTTGCAGCTTCTAACTCAGGCCCTTGTGGTAAAGCCACTACAGTGTTGTAACACGTTCTCCAAAGCAAGGAAGACAATTCCACCAAGGCGTACAGAGGCCTCTCCTGAGAAGGAGCCACATTCAGAACATGCAGAGACAGAAGAACTGCAGACCTGTGCACTAGGGGAGCCTAAAGCCTTGACCTCTCAAGGTAAAGATTGGGAAACAGGCCAGAGAGATGGCTCCATAGCCAAGCCTGACAACCCGAGTTCAATTTCTGGGACCCAAAAGATGGAATGAGAGCGTCACCTCCTTTAAGTGGTTCCCTGACCTCCACACGGGCACTATGGTGTGTGTGTGTGTGTGTGTGTGTGTGTGTGTGTGTGTGTGTGTGAAAATAAATAAATGTTTTATAGTAACAGGGAGACTGAAGCTGGAGAGGACCACAGGCGAGGACAGCCCACGTGGCTCTCCACTCTGCCCTTGCTCTTTCTCTCATCATGTGTGTTTGCGTCTACGATTTGTGCCAGAATTTGTCTACTGAGGACAGGAAGGTCCAGGTACGAAGCTTCGGTTGTTCTCACTGTCCTAGGACATTCCCAAACAGTAAATGTCTCACACCTTCCTCCAGGAAATCATCCTGTGGCTGAGTGGGGTGAGTGGGGCCTTGCTCCACACGCTGTGTCTTTGGCTTTTCCTCTGTCGCTAGGGAAGATGGGTAAGAGAAACCAAATGCAGTTTGGAGCTACCTCATGCGATTATTAGAGGAGATGAACTGTTAGGCATCAGAAATATCTGAAGAAACGATGTTTTCAGAGACGTTAGAGCTGTGTGTAAGGTGTGAGCTGTGGCAGGGGCAGCCCTGTGACAGGTGAGGTGGGCTGTGACAGGTGAGGTGGGCTGTGAGAGGTGAGGTGGGCTGTGGCAGGTGAGG